GGGGTTGCGGTCTGGGGCGATGCTGAGCCGCCGGCCAGGAGCCTCGTGCGAGCTGCTCGTGGCCACCAGGTTGCCGTCGTGGTAGAGGGACAAGGTGGCCGGTGGGTGGCTGTCCACGGTGCAGTGCACGATGGCCAGCTGGCCGCCTGGAGCCTCCTGGAACAGGGCGATGTCGGGGATCCGGGGGGGATCTGTGGGAACAGGGACAGGGAGGGACTCTGAATGCAGCAGAGACCCCAGCGCAGGGTCCCCTACCTACATGCGCCGCATCCAAGGCCAGCACTGCCAGCAAACACAGCTGCTCGCTGGAGCTGCTTTCTCACTTACGTCAGCAGGTTATATTTACTCTCAGAAATGTCAACGCCAAACCCAAGAGTCGTTTTATTTTTCCCCTGACTTGCAAAAGCTCTCAGGCTGTTATTATCATAGCTGTCTCGGTGCTTTGCAAGAGTTTATGGCCCTGGAGCAGAGCAGGGGGGCATGTGCTGGATGCGGTAGTGGACGGGTAGGGAATACAACGTTACAGTGTCCCCAGATGCTGCTCGTGCCCAGGAGCCCTTGCCCTGCTGCATCTCCTCCTCCCCACACCCAGAAGGATTGGACACCCCCGTGCTGGGTGTTTGGGGCAAGTATTCTGCTTTTGCTTGGGGATTGCACAGCACCCGACCCAAAGGGATGCTCAAAGGAGCCCACAGAGCGGTGGAAGTGGCCATAGGCACTCACAGGTGACACTGAGGCTGACGGCCGGGGATGTCACGCTGCCCAAGTCATCCTGCACCTTGCACGAGTAGTAGCCCACGTCGCCGATGGCCACATGGCGGAACACGAGTGTGCGAGCAGGGCCCTCCTGCAGCCACGCGCTGTTCTTGTACCACGTGTAGTTGAGCTCGCGGCTCTCGCCGCCGGGCACGTCGCAGGACAGCGTGGCCATGGTGCCCTCCCGCACCTCGGCCGCTGGGCTCACGGACACCTCTGCAGCTGGAGGCGACAGGACACCCACCTCGGAGCCATCCCAAGCAGGATGGAGAGCCCCCAGCCCCCGGGGCGGCACAAAGTGACATAGGAGGCCCCCATCCCACGCCTGCTTCATCCCCAGCACTTACAGAAGACGAAGAGGGTCAGGGCAGGCGCTGCTCTGGACCCCACCGCATTCTCAGCCTCGCAGTGGTACCGTCCGTAGTCCTCCCGACGGACGTGCCGGAGGGTCAGGACCTGCTCGCTGCCCACAGCCGCGCCATCCTTGTACCAGCGGTACGCGGTGACGGGCGGGTAGCTGCTGTTGACGGCGCAGGCGAAGGACACGGCATCGCCCACGCGGATGTTCTGCGCGGAGGGCTGCATGGACGCCGCGATGCCCTGCGGTGCGTCTGCGGGACACACGGACAGACGGCAGCGCTGAGGAGTGCCACAAACGGCGCAGGGTCCAGTGGCCGCAAAGGGGGACCCGGGTGGCTCTGGGCAGGGAGGGATGCGGGACTTCTGCCAGCACAAGCTATGGAGATGGGTGTGAAGCTATGAGGAGGAGGAGGACAGGGAGGAAGGGAGCTGGATGTGCTCTGGCTCCTGGTGGAGAGGCTGGAGAGCCCCCGCG